GTACATTCACAGTAACTGCCATCTCCTTACAAATGTTCATTAGATTAACCACACTTATACAGACTGTATATAACAACCAACTCTGAAATGTTCGTTTGCAGAGGGAAGACACAGACAGACTATGCTAACGACATGTGATGTTACAACACTAATGAAATATTGATGTGCCATATTTGTCCAAGGTGTATTTCATTGTTATGGAAAAAGAGAATATCAAAATCATGATGACCAATTGGAGTGGTGATGTCTATGACTTTGTGTATATAATTTGGGATTTTGAACAAATGTAGGCCAATAAGGAATATATGATATCATTTCATTATTTTCAAAGGTTTATTTGCATGACGCACAAACAGAGACAATTGAAAGGTACAAATGTGCATGACACGGATTCAAACGTGGTGCAGATGTGTGTCACAGGTTGATCTGGCTGTAGGCTGTGGCACTTGGCCAGAGGTGGCGCTGGTTGACTCGACTCCATGTTAGTGCACATGGAGTTGTGAAGCAAAAACGCTGAATTCGGAGAAATAAACCGTGCGAGGGGAACGATAACGACGACAAGATTCTCCCGATCGTTTACTCTTGCTGTCCTGTGAACAACATCGGCGTGGTGTTACTTGTTTGCTGTTTTTGCGATCGCGTCGCGCATGAGGATATCACCAGGTAAACTCGCCACATTTTTAAACATTTTGTTGTTCAACAGCATCAAGACTGACGGAGTGTGTTTGAGACAACCTCACAAGTGTCACAGATGACACATTTGGCGTTTTTTTGCTGGTTTGTCGGTAGCAGCTCCTGAAACGCAAGACTGCCACACATCTGATCTAAACGCCAGTAGATCTGGAACACCGGAAGAGCAGCATCTGTATCGTCTTTTAATTTTCATTTGCACTTTAGAGGCAGGTTACATTTGCAATTGTAAATCAAAGTTTTCAATGTTGTGTTGTGTAAATGAACTAACAGCTGTATTCTTTTATTTGTACCTGTAATGGTGATTCATTGGCATTAAGTATATACACAGAAGAAAGTACTTCGAAGAAACGGGGGTTGCACTCATGTCTCGGCACGAGCAGGAAATAGAGAGAGAATTGTGGTAGCTAAGGTCTAGCTTAGCTACCACGATGTGCAGCAATTCTTTGGTTCTTCTGGTCTTCTTTCCCTTTTGAATTTTCAGTTTCTGCAATTTTGTGTTCAGGGCTCTGTGGGAGGGGGTGGTGGTAGTACTGGTAATACTTGTTTTGTTTACACTGATAAAAGTAAATGTACTGTATTTGTATGATAGGATGTATGAAAACTACCATCAGCTTGTGCAAAACTGTACTATAGCTGGTACATATGGTTAAGAACAAAAATTATTCTTAAATGTTATTTGGTTAATTTTTAGGGTTATTTTCAAGGACCAGTTAACTCTGAGATTTCAACTTTTGTTTTCTCTAAACTCTAGTCTGTGTTTTACCCAAGTGTCAAACTTATTATTTTAGTTTCCACACATAAGAGGATATAATCAGATGTGGATGTGAATTCAGCAGCATGTATCAGTGTGAGGACAGACAGGAGGGAGACCCTCCCTCTAAAACCACTCTGTGTGGGGAGCATGAGAGCCAGACCAAAGCGCAGAGGTGAGATGACCACCTCTAACTGTCCATGACTCTTCTCCATGTCACAGCTCAGCACTCACATCACTGCTCCATCATTATTCACAGGAACCAACCTGGACCTGGACCTGATCCAAGCTGTTTGTCATTAAAGAGCGACAACTCCAAGGGTTTTATTACTGATTTTAAAGAAGGAAGATGTTCTGCTGTAGAGAGGTAATCTATTTATATATGCTTTGTCAAAATACTTGTCTCCTTCTTGATTCTTTTTTTTTTTTTGTATTTGTCACATGTAAATTTTTCAGATCACCAAACAAATATTATTTTCAGACAAAGATAACCCGAGTAAATATAAAATGCTGTTTTTAAATAGTTATTTTATTTATTCATGGAGAAAAATATTTATCCAAACCTACTTGCTAAATGAAAAAAAGAATTGCCCCTCAGGAAATCATCTGAGCTCACACGGTGGGGCTAGGTTTCACAGCAGGTTCACCCAAAACTTTCACCGATTGTAACCTACACCCGTTTTCACACCTTGGCTCGTGTGATTAGGTAGAGGATCAACAGGGGGTTCATGGTAAATGGTAAATGGCCTGTATTTATATAGCGCTTTACTAGTCCCTAAGGACCCCAAAGCGCTTTACATATCCAGTCATCCACCCATTCACACACTGGTGATGGCAAGCTACATTGTAGCCACAGCCACCCTGGGGCGCACTGACAGAGGCGAGGCTGCCGGACACTGGCGCCACCGGGCCCTCTGACCACCACCAGTAGGCAACGGGTGAAGTGTCTTGCCCAAGGACACAACGACCGAGACTGTCCAAGCCGGGGCTCGAACCGGCAACCTTCCGATTACAAGGCGAACTCCCAACTCTTGAGCCACGATCATGACTTCCTCAGGGGACACTCCGCTAGCGCTTAAATCTAGGACTCTCCACCATTTGACCCTAGAACTGAAGAAGCTTCTCAGATGAGAGGTGAAATGTCTTCAAGCAACTTAAATAAGTCCAGAAGCTTTTTTTTCCAGAAGATAAAAAGCACATAGGTAGAAAAAAACACATGGGTGTGAAAGTGGCATGTTGCATGAAGGGTTTTAAGTAGAGTAGAAAAATCACTAGCTCAGGATCTCTACCAGAGACGTGGGAGCTTTAAGGTCCTGAGCAATATCTTAGTAGTTGCAACAACAGCACTATTCTGGACGGAGATCACAGATGTTGTTCCTGGAATCTGTTGGAGCTAATTGCTCCCACTTTTGTTTGGTCATTTCCCAGAGTGCTGTAATTACTGTTGCCTTTACCTTATAATACATACCTTATAATTATTTATACCCTATAATAATTTTTGTTATTTACTATTACTTACAAAATCCGTATCATTACTCAACAGATGGGACCAAGAGAGCTCAGAGTCTCCCAGTAGCAAGTCTACCCAGCAGCATCACTTGGACTCCATATTTATGGTCTGTACAACAACTACATTTGCGTGTTTTTTATATTCTGCACACAGCCCTCTTCATGCTGCACTCTGTAGACCAATGAACTGTGTCCAACATGGATCTGATATTTGGCTCCATAATTTCAGTTTGATTCCATGATATTAGTCTGATTTGGTCATTCATATAGTATTCTGTTCCAGTTGCTGGAGGACAACATCACCACTTTTGCCAAGAATGAGCTGAAGAAGATCCAGATGGTTCTCAATCCAGATTACCCAGAATGCCTAAAGAGTCAGAGAGAGGATGATGAAGAGCTGGAGAGTGAGGCTAGAGAGCAGATAAGAACCAGCAGAGAGGCATTTATGAAGATCACACTGAACTTCCTGAGGAGAATGAAGCAGGAGAAGCTGGCTGACTGTCTCCAAAACAGTAAGATGATTTCTTAAAACATGTGAGCTGCTAGATGTAATGAATGTTTACTAGTGTCTCAAGAAAAGGATCAACATGTAGTCACTCTAGAGGACCAACATACTCATGTCTACATTTGTTTTATTCAGAACATGCTGCAGTTTGTCAACGTGCACTTAAATTTAGCCTGAGAGAGAAGTTCCAGTGTGTGTTTGAAGGGACTCCTAAAGCAGGAAACCCAACCCTTCTGAATCAGATCTACACAGAGGTCTACATCACAGAGGGGGAGACTACAGAGGTCAGTCGTGAACATGAGGTCAGACAGATTGAAACAGCATCCATGACACCTGACAGACCAGAAACAACAATCAAACTAGTAGATCTCTTTAAAGCCTCACATGCAAGAAAGCAACCAATCAGAACAGTGCTGACAAAAGGAGTGGCTGGCATTGGGAAAACAGTCTTAACACAGAAATACACCCTGGACTGGGCTGAAGACAAAGCCAACCAGGACATCCAGTTCATATTTCCATTCACTTTCAGAGAGCTGAATGTGCTGAAAGAGGAAAAGTTCAGCTTGGTGGAACTTGTTCATCACTTCTTTAGTGAAACCACCCAAGCCGGAATCTGCAGCTTTGAAGACTTCCAGGTTGTGTTCATCTTTGATGGTCTGGATGAGTGTCGACTTCCTCTGGACTTCCACAACACTGATGTCCTAAATGATCCTCGAGAGTCCACCTCAGTGGATGTGCTGCTTATAAACCTCATCAGGGGGAAGCTGCTTCCCTCTTCTCACCTCTGGATAACCACACGACCTGCAGCAGCCAGTCAGATCCCTGCTGAGTGTATTGACATGGTGACAGAGGTCAGGGGGTTCACTGACCCACAGAAGGAGGAGTACTTCAGGAAGAGGTTCAGAGATGAGGAACAGGCCAACAGGATCATGTTCCACATCAAGACATCACGAAGCCTCCACATCATGTGCTACATCCCAGTCTTCTGCTGGATCACTGCTACAGTTCTGGAGGATGTGTTGAAAACCAGAGAGGTAGGAGAGCTGCCCAAGAACCTGACTGAGATGTACATTCACTTCTTGGTGATCCAGGCCAAAGTGAAGAAGGTCAAGTATGATGGAGGATCTGAGACAGATCCACACTGGAGTCCAGAGAGCAGGAAGATGATTGAGTCTCTGGGAAAACTGGCTTTTGATCAGCTGCAGAAAGGAAACCTGATCCTCTATGAATCAGACCTGACAGAGTGTGGCATCGATATCACAGCAGCCTCAGTGTACTCAGGAGTGTTCACACAGATCTTTAGAGAGGAGAGAGGACTGTACCAGAAAAAAGTTTTTTGTTTCCTTCATCTGAGTGTTCAGGAGTTTCTGGCTGCTCTTCATGTCCATCTGATGTTCTTCCACTCTGGAGTCAATCTGCTGGAAGTACAAGAAGCAACATCCAGGTTTTCTGAAACAACAAAAGAAACACGTTTCTACGAGAATGCTGTGAACAAGGCTTTAACGGATCCAAATGGACACTCGGATTTGTTCCTCCGCTTCCTCCTGGGTCTTTCACTGCAAACCAGTCAGACTCTCCTACAAGGCCTGCTCACACAGACAGTAAGTGCCTCACAGACCAATCAGACAATAGTCCAATACATCAAGGAGAAGCTCAGTGAGAATCTGTCTGCAGAGAAAAGCATCAACCTGTTCCACTGTCTGAATGAACTGAATGATCGCTCTCTAGTCAAGGAGATCCAATGGTACCTGAGATCAGGACGTCTCTCTGCAGATAAACTGTCTCCTGCTCAGTGGTCAGCTCTGGTCTTCATCTTACTCTCATCAGAAAAAGATCTGGATGTGTTTGACCTGAAGAAATACTCTGCTTCAGAGAAGGCTTTTCTGAGGCTGCTGCCAGTGATCAAAGCCTCCAACAAAGCTCTGTAAGTAAATATGTGTTCATCCCTTTTTTAACATTAAATTGTAATGATGCAATAGTCAGTATGTCTGTGAAGGTTGTCAGTCATCCAGGTCATCATAGTGTAAGGAGCTTGGAAAGAAAAGCGTCTGGACTTCTTTAAGTTGCTTGAAGACATTTCATCTCTCATCCGAGAAGCTTCTTCAGTCCTAGGGTCAAATGGTGGAGAATCCTTGATGTAAGCCCTGTGTCTTCAAGCAACTTAAAGAAGTCCAGACGCTTTTCTTTCCAAGCTCATTAGATGCAATAGTAATTTTTCTTGTTCAGTATTAATAAATAAGTGAATTCATTTGATCACAAATATGATTTTTTTTTTCAGACTGAATCTCTGTAACCTCTCAGAGAGCAGCTGTGAAGTCTTGTCCTCAGTTCTCACCTCACAATCCTGCAATCTGAGAGAACTGGACCTGAGCAGCAATGACCTGCAGGATTCAGGATTGAAGCTTCTATCGACAGGACTAGAAAGTCCATATTGTAACCTGCAAAGTCTCAGGTGAGGTCAAATGATATACTTCATTGTTACTGCCTCCAGTTAGAGAAAGCTTAGTTGATCGTTGCTGCATTCTTAGTTAGAATCAATGCTTAAAAAATGAAATAAGTTTTTCTAAATCTAGTAGCTCCTCGTGGTTTTATTTTTCAGATTGACTTCCTGTTGCTTAACAGAGAGAAGCTGTGAAGCTCTGTCCTCAGTTTTCCTCTCCCAGTCTTTTCGTCTGAGAGAGCTGGACCTCAGTAACAATGACCTGCAAGATTCCGGTGGAATTCTACTTTCTGCTGGATTGAAAAATCCACACTGTACACTGAAAAGTCTCAGGTCAGGATTTAGACATTACCACTGATTATGTAACCCTCTCGAGTCGATGGACACGCCAGTGCATCGAAATCAAATGACCAATTTAAGATGATATAGCAGCTAAGTTTCCCATTGAAAGTGCAGACTTCAAACCACATACCATTTATTTTTAACCTGTAGCACTGTAGACTCACTGTAGGCTCCCCTTGTTAATAATTTAGTTTTATTGATTTATTTGGTAGCACTTTATAATAATGTCACATTGCCATTAGCTTACTAATGTTTGGCAATGTAGGAGCAAGTCATTTATGTATCATTGCATCTTCTTAATATGACATTTATAAATACCAATGTTTATTCACCTGTTACTCTTATACCATTGTGTAAGTCAAGTGTGTACTAATGTAATTCCTTATTAGTAGGCTTGAGGAGCTGTCAGTTGAATGATCGTGGCTCAAGAGTTGGGAGTTCGCCTTGTAATCGGAAGGTTGCCGGTTCGAGCCCCGGCTTGGACAGTCTCGGTCATTGTGTCCTTGGGCAAGACACTTCACCCGTTGCCTACTGGTGGTGGTCAGAGGGCCAGAGTGGCGCCAGTGGCAGCCTCGCCTCTGTCAGTGCGCCCCAGGGTAGCTGTGACTACACTGTAGCTTGCTATCACCATTGTGTGAATGGGTGGATGACTGGTTGTGTAAAGCGCTTTGGGGTCCTTAGGGACTAGTAAACCGCTATACAAAATACAGGCCATTTACTAAAACTGTTGATCAAGCATTCTGAGAAAGATTAGAAAGAGGGATCGTGTCTCTATTTTCTACTTGTCAAATTGAGAATTTAATTTAAAAGCTTTCTCCTCACATTCATAGTGTTGAATAATTACTCCCCATCAAATCTTTAAGACCAGTTAGGATTCAGCAAATTTACTTTTACTACTTTTAAGATTAGGCTTCATAATTTCCTTTTTGATAAAGCATATAGTTAGGACTGGATCAGGTGACTCTGAATCTTCTTAGTTAACCAGTTTAGGTTGCTGCGGCTTCCCATGATACAATGAGCAGGTTTCTTGACTGTGCTGATGTTCTGTCTAATGTTGCAGGCTCTTATCTTACATTTTGAAGCAATCTGAGACAACTTTTGTCATCTGTTGGAATTGTCAATTTATAAATAATGCTAAATTTAACTGAATAGATTAAGTGCATTATCTCTGTAAAACAAAAAAGAAAAAGAAGTATTCAGAGTTTTCATAATTTTATGTTGAGAAACTTTTGAAATTCTTTTGAAATACAATTCTGAAATTCCACAATTTGAAGACACTGGATTTGTGAACCTCTGCTCATTCTTACATCTTAGGACCTGCTTCACTAAGATTCTCTTTTTATACCCAGTAACGATATTGACCTGTTGCCAGATTAGCTGCAAAATCTTCCTTGAGCTGTTTCTTATTAGTACCACTTACTTTTACAACCTTTTGTTGCCCTTGTTCCAACTTTTTTGAGCTGTCTTGCTGTCTTTAATTTCAAAATGAGCTAATATTTTTCATGAAATAGTAAAATGTCTCTTTTGAAACATTTAATATATTTCTGAGTTCTATTTTTAAAAAGTATAGTTTCATGAGTTTTGTAAATCATTGCATTCTGTTTTAATTTAAAACCTTGAATTAATTATATTATGTGTCTGTAGTCTTTCAGGCTGTCTTATTGCACAGAGAGGCTGCATTTCTCTGGCTTCAGCCCTGAGCTCCAACCCTTCCCATCTGAGAGAGCTTGACCTGAGCTACAATCATCCAGGAGAGTCAGGAATGAAGCTGCTTTCAGCTGGACTAAAGGATCCACTCTGGAGACTGGAAACACTCAGGTACAGAAGGAATGCCTGATGCGGGAGGACAGGTGTTTTTACCTTCAGTATCAAAAAAATAAATTGCTGCAGCCTGAATATACAAACATCAAAGAGGTAGACTCTTTAAACAAGATGCTCTTTTATTCAGAAAGTTACTTAAAATAATCAGCTTTGTGATTAAATTTTTTTTTCTGCCTTTCACTATTTGTGTGTGTGTGTGTGTTAGTATATCCTGTTATATTGCACCACACTGTGACATTAATAAAAAGTAGCTCTAAATATATTATTATATATTTTAAAAACATGTCTGTATCTTTTACAATCACACTCCTCAGTGTCCTAGTATTGTTTATGCCAGGGTACTAAAGAGGAGAGTCCATCTGTTAGTTGAACATTGGATTCAGGAAGAGTCCTTATTGTGAAACACTTAACCAACTTTTTATCCTCTCAAGGATATTCGAGGGTGCCCAACCAACTTCATGTGTTTTGTGATAGGGTCCTTAGGGGTGTCTTGTGGGGGGGGGTAATTCATGAGTATGGTGTCTGGTCCATTGTTACAGGCCATGTAGCCCTTGGCAACCATAGCGAGAACTTGGTTTATATTTAAAGTCAGTTGGAATAATTTCTGGTGGGCGTTGGACTCAACCAGGGCTATCCTTTGTCACCAATTGAGTTTTTTTCTTTTGGCTTCACCGGTTAGTGAACTTCAGCTTGCACTGGAGCTACTTAGAGTCTTTAAACAAGCGTAAAGTGGTGTGAGTGAGAATCAGCACTTCTAAGCGGAGAAGTTTAAGAATCTTTGGGTCTTGTTTCAAAGTTAGGGTAGGGGGAGTTAAAATAAGACTGACAGATTGGTCTGCCCTAATCAATCTGGTGTGATGAAGAGAAAGTTGGGCATAAAAGCAAAGCTGTAGATTTACTGGTCAGTCTATGTTGGTACGCTCACCTACAGACTGGTGTCTTGGATACAAGCGTCAGAAATGAGTTTCTGGCTGGGCTCTCTTTTAGAGTTGGGGTTAGGAATTTGGTCATTAAAGAGAGAATAATAGTAGAGCTGCTACTTTTCCATATCCAAAGGAGCCAGTTGAGGTGGTTTGTGGATCTGAGGCCTGTTGTTAAAAGAAGAGGGGGTGCTACACAATGACAAACATGACCCTATCACAACTCTTTTGAGATGTCACTTCCAACAAAAATGCCATTTTGTTTTTTAAATGGTAGACTCCCAGTGTGAACAGTGAATGTTTTCTTTGTTCTATTGTAATAAGACATATAAGTTTATGAGGTTTGCAAATCACTGCATTACATTTTATGCACTATATGCAGATTGTTCTGCTGGTCCCAACTTTTTTTTTGGAATTTGGGATAAATAAGTCTCCTTGTGGATTAAGACTTTTAAAATTGAAAAAAGTAACATTTCATGTGATTTCAGTGTTACGTTGATGTGTCCTTGTCAAAAGAATGTGCTGGTCTGACCCCCTCCTCCTTTCAGGGTGGAGCCTGCTGGAGTCCGATGGTTGACACCAGGTCTGAGGAAGTGTAAGTGTGCTTTTAATGTGATTCATAAAAACAAAGCAGCACACATTCAACCATCTTCAAACTGTCACATCACTCATTCACATCTCTGATGTCAGGAGTCATCATCAAAGTGTCAATCAATGAACAAATGATGGATCAATAACTGCAGCTGGATTGTGTTTGTTCTCTCCATCAGATTCATGTCAACTCAGAATTGATACAAACACAGTGAACAAAAACCTCAAACTGTCTGACAGCAACAGGAAGGTGACACATGTGGAGGAGGTTCAGTCATATCCTGATCATTCAGACAGATTTGATTACTGGCCTCAGCTGCTTTGCAGTGATGGTCTGACTGGTCGCTGTTACTGGGAGGTCGAGTGGAAAGGACTGGCTTACATATCAGTGAGTTACAGAAGAATCAAAAGGAAAGGAGATAGTAGAGACTGTACCTTTGGATTTAACGAAAAGTCCTGGAGTCTGAGCTGTTGTGATGACGGCCCTCCTTCTGTCAGTCACAATGAGAAAGTAACATTTATCTCCTCCTCCTCTGTCTCTAACAGAGTAGCAGTGTATGTGGACTGTCCTGCTGGCACTCTGTCCTTCTACAGAGTCTCCTCTGACACTCTGATCCACCTCCACACCTTCAACACCA